GCTCCTGCCCACCCAGCGGCTCGAAAGCATAACCGCAAGTATACAAATGGGTACCTGCTCTAGGTTGGCGGGGGGCACCCTCCCTCCTGATGGTGTGTGCCAGGAGTGTTGGCGGTGGCGGCAGCGATAACGGCGGCGGAGCAGAGGCGACCCGTGGATGTGGCGGCGAGAGAGACTGGATGGAGGCGGAGCTACGGTGGTGGGCTGGCCAGGGGGCACCCTCCCTCCTGATGGTGTGTGCCAGGAGTGTTGGCGGTGGCGGCAGCGATACGGCGGCGGAGCAGAGGTGACCCGTCGATGCGGCGGCGACGGAGACCGGATGGAGGCGGAGCTACGGTGGCGGGGTGGCGGCACGACAGCATGACGATGCAGTGCGGTGGAGCCTAAGGGACAAAGGCCAGAACTGCAATTGGGAGCTGCCGCGCGCCGGAGGAATCCGTCAGGAGCCTGCCGGGAGATGTCGTTGACCCATCCTAAGGCGCCAGGAAGAAACAACGGAAGCCCGCCCGTGGAATACAACAGGACCGCGCTGCTCGGGTGTCGATAGGTAGCCCCTCCCCCAGTCGAATTGTGGCCCTAGGATAGGAACTAATTAGGCACTTAGGCCATATACCTGTAAACTGCCCAGAGACCCTCAGGTAAAGGGCGGTATACAAATCGAAGATATAAATTTTTTAAAAAATCTCTCCTATGTCCTTAAGAACAAAGCAGTAAATTTTGGTAGTTTATCTGTCTTCTGAAAGTAGCCCTCCTTGTAATTGCCCTCTCATCTGTTTCCACATATCTTTACTGCAGGATCATAATATTTTAAGAAGCATCTCTAAATCAAAGCTCCTTTTGTGAGATACCTGGTGAAGGGAGCTTTGACTCTTGAAAGCTTATATCCTGGAAATGTTGACGATCTTTAAGGTGCTACTAGACTCAAATCTTTGCTCTTCTACTGCAGAGCAACACGGCTACCCACCTGAAACTGTCTCCAAATCTGGTTATACTTATTTATGTTAGTAGCTTCAGTAGCCTGGCTTAGCCTGAGCTCATCGGAGTTTGGGAGTTAAGCAGGGTTGGCCGTGCTCAGTACTTGAATGGGCAACCACCAAGGAAGAGGGCAATGGCAAACCACCTCTGCTCCCCTCTTGCCTGGAACACCCCATGGTTTGGGTCTGAACGGATTGCAATCTGATAGCACCTTTTCTGTATTACTCCTCCATAGAAGATACGGTCATATGATGCCAGTCTCTAGATCCACTAATCTGAATGATGTCATGTTGTATGATGGTTGTGATGAGCATTGCTGGATAAAGTGCCGATAAGGAGTCAGCAGATCATTAGGACAGATTCCCCAAACCCATGGATGCAGTGAGGCTGCATTTGGGAATCACGTGGCATGAAACTGTAGGACCTTTCAGAAGAAGAGTTGACAGAGAGTGTTTTCAGCCTATTTCCACATTTGGGCCACATCCCACATGATTCCTGAAAGTAGCCTGGCCTTCAGAAGAAAAAAAAAAAAGAGAGGGCATGGGAGACTGCAATAGGAATGGGATCATGTCAGAAATCTCTTCCATGAACTTTCTTTGTGTGTGGTTATTTTAGGATCCAACTTTATTGTTTGTGTTGATTCTGGTTCATTGAAAGGGCAAAAGGCAGCAGGAGGGCCCCAGAGTAAAGGGGGTAAAGACAAGAGCCAAATGTGTGCAGATGGAGCATGACCTCACATGGATGCTCCCTTTTACTCCAAGAAAATATAAACTTCAAAGTAAAAGGGAAACTGCAGGACAACTGCGGTTAGAGAATCCTCCTGGATACTCCATCACAGGGACATGCAAACACATGAAACTGCCTTATGCTGAATCAAACCATTGGTCCATTAAGATCAGTATTGTCTACTCAGAGTGGTGGCAGCTCCCCAGGGTCTGGCATGGATGCCTTTCACATCACCTGCTGCCTCACCCTTTTACCTGGAGAGTCCACTAATTCAACCTGGGACCTTTTGCCCACCAAGCAGATGCTCTACCACAGAGAAGCCACAGAGCCCGGGGGCGTGGAGCTAAACTTTACCTTCAGAAGGTAAAGGTAAAGGTTCCCTTGCTCGAAAGCCAGTCGAATCCGACTCTAGGGTTGCGGTGCTCATCTCCGTTTCAAAGCCGAAGAGCCAGCGCTGTCCGAAGACGTTTCCATGGTCATGTGGCTGGCATGACTAAACACCAAGGCGCATGGAACGCTGTTGCCTTCCCACCGAAGTGGTACCTATTTACCTTCAGAAAGGCAGAGGTAAGCTCCACATCCCTCCCCCTTTTCAACCTTTTAAAGGCCTTTCTCCCTATCCCTACAGAGCTGCTGTAGTTTTACACCATGGCTCAGTAGGGACAAGAAAAGTGAAGGGATAGGGGCTGAATATGGACTGCAGGGGGAACCCAGTGGCATTGTGGTTTTGCACCGTTGTAGTGGGCATAAGGGGGACGAGCGTAATGGCAGCAGCAGCTCATAGCTTATAGAAGGGATATATGCAGGATTTTTTTTCCCCTCGGGGAACGCTCCAGAACGGAGTTCCAGAACCTCTTTGATAAAACTCTTTTAAAAATATTTAAAAGTTCATGAGTTTTCCGTATACAGATTGAAAACTTCATTTCCCTCTTGAGAGTTCCAGCACCTCTTTCCCCCCCTCCCCAGAAGCCCTGGGTATATCTGTGTGGACACCATTCCCACCTGTTCCTGGTGCAGCCTGTTGCCGCTGCTATGTTGTAGTGGCGGTGCATTTTCATGCCCCTGGTGTGGATGCAGTCTTTGTCTCTCATCTAGAATAATTTAGATTGAAGCACATAACTTTAGTTGTTGGCAAAGTAGCACATGCTCATTTTCTGCTGTTTGGAAGTTTCCTTGTGTGATAAGGAAAAAAATGACCCACGATAGCACTTTTCCACAGGCTTGGACTGTAGTCTTAACTGCTCATTGTGCTCCAAGTCGGCTCATTTTGCATATCTACCTTTGATAGACGTATTCATTAACCATCGTCATTGTATCTGTACACAATGGAAGCTGTACCGGTGGCTCGAGTCTGAAGAACTGATGCTGTTATATTGGGGTCTTATAACAGCAGCTTGCTTGTTCCCCACTCTGTTAAAAAGGATTACCCAGTCTGTGTGGGCAATCACAGTACAGACCAGATGGTCTTTGACTGAGTCTTCAGATAAATTGGGTTTCATGTCCTCTTATGAATAGGAATCGCTTTCTGAAAGTAGCCCTGTGAATGTGGTTTATGCTCCTGTAACATAGGTTTTGAATATAAATACCCTGGCTGGTGACTTTCCTGTGCTGGATTGGTCGGCAGTCCGTCCCCTAATGATTTACATTTATTCAGTAAATGAGAGCTTGCAAAATTTATATGGTGTTTGCCTTCCAGTCCTTTGCATTGTTTTGCCTGTCTCTCCAGCGAGGAGCACATTGTAGTGCTTGATACTCTAAACTGTGTTTTTGTGTGGGTGACATTTATACTTGTAAGCAATTAGTATTTACAGGAAAGAAAAGCAATAAAAGTCATAAATGTTGACACAGTTGCTTTTTAAAATGCAAAGGTATTAAGAAAAACCTTTTGTTGCTCACTTGCTTCACTTCCGCTAAGGCTTTGTCCAGAGTATGTTGGCAAAATACTTCCATGACTTCCTGTTGTGATGAGTGAGTGAGAATTTCAACAGGCAGGACAAAAATTAAAATGGAATGTTAGTTTGATTTGTAGACATCTAGACCTCACAATCTGTCTTTAGTAGAGCATGGATTGCCTGAGCACTTAGTTTTATTTGGGGCTCTAGAGAATTGTTGTCAGATGTACATTTGGATTTTTGGATCCCCCCCCCCATTGTTTACTTTATAATTCAAAACTTGCAGCAACGTTATAGGAAGCTTATCTCCACCTTTTACTTTGCAAGCCATTTTACTTTGCAAGCCATCTTCTTGCATATTCTCTGAAAAAGTATGTATCACTCTCAGTAGCTGGTTTTGTCTTGTGGTCTACTGGTCTGTGCTGAGGCTGGTGCTTTCTTTGTTGTTGCTGTTGTTGCAGATAGGTTGCCAGCAGGTTGGATGAGTGAATTAAACAGTGGCCTTTCACCTTTAGGCAACAGCTGGAATTCCTACAGGATTGTGACTACACAGAAATGGATCAAATTGTACTGTGAGCTATATAGCCAAATTCCCAGTCAACTTATGCTATCAAGCAGAAGGAATTTGAAAGAGTTTAACTGAAGTAATTATAGTTTCATTAACAGTCTTATGTAAATAATGGTATTAGCTAGAATATGAAGAATTGTATCTCTGTTTCTCCTGTGTTCTGCGTTGTAATGGCAAAACTCATTATTTATTGGTCCAATGCACTTGCTGTGGCTTGAGAGAAAGTGTGTATTTCAGTATTGTGGCATAGTTCATTTGTAAAGACAATCCATGGCTTACCATTCCATGAATGAGCATTGGGGATCTCTGGTCTTGCATGTTCCCCTCCCTTCCCCTTGTGCATGGTGTGAAAAATAATTCTTTCTGGTTTAGTGGTAAATTGTTTCTCGTTTTGTCAGAGCCATAAACCATTAATTGTTCTCTTCTTTCCAAACCGGGTTTCTAAAAAAAACCAATTAATGTCTCATTTGGAGAAAGGACAACAAACCATAGTTTGTAATTTTGGGAAAGTGACAATGATTTCACATGAACGGAGTAAAGATGGTTTTGTTTTTTGAGCCAGGCAGGAGGAAGATGGCATACAAGCACAAGGAGATTCCTCAGGCTCCTTCATGTAATGAAACAGTGATTTGTCATTGTTTGAAATACTCTGTGCTTTTAGCATTGGAGGAGAAGGAAGTTTCTTGCATTCGCTCTTGTACTTCTGTCTTGTTTGCTCTGAAAGTAGCTACTGTGATAACTAGGATGCTACATAAAATGTATAGGGTTTTTTTTTACTGAGACATTTCCCTTTTTATTTGTTTGTAGTAATGCTACAAGGAATTTTGTCTGTGTAACCAGCTTGGTAACCAGCTATCAAGATAATGCTAAGGACATCGCAAACTGCTGATTCCATCTCCTGTTGAGCAGTTCCTCAGGTATGCCTAATACAGTCCTTTACAAATATTTAGCACAATTTTGTGAAGTCTGATAGAACAGGGGATGATTTACAAATGATTATTAAAAAGTAGCTAACATCATAAATCATTATTTTGGACGGTGTGATAAATAAGACAATGGGATCCCTGCTTCTGTCTCACAGTTGGTATGCAGTTAAAATGAATGCCAGTTCCAAAGTGAAAGGTGTACTCCAGTACATCACGAAATTGGTCTAGGGCTGGTGCAATATGTAGGTTTCTAGGCTAAGCTTCTGACAGTAAAATGAATAAATGCAAGATGAGGTGAAGACTTAAGACTTAGGTGTCTCTCTAAATATTGTTCTAAAAGGGTTAGGAACAAGCATAGCTATGTAGCCTCTCCCCCCCAGTTACCATACTATACCATAATTACAGATTATTGATGGCCATATTAATTTTGCCTTAAAGGCAGATGACAGGTCAAGTTGCAATACCCTCAATTAACCCTAAGTTTTAGCAACTCAATTTTTTATACACAGCAATAACTTACTTAACATTTAGTTAGTTAAATATATAGAAATAAGTGGAGGCCTGCGAGATGCACAGGGGAAATCCCATCTCTCCCTTGCTGTCTCCCAGCCCAGCATAGCTCTAGACCTTCTCAGCTACCTTTGGGCCCAGCCACATTGGCTGCATTGTCCAGGAGCTACTGCGAGCCTGGAGCAGCTCCTGGACTCTGCTGCTGCCAGCTCTGAACACAGAGTGGCTCCCAGACTCCACTGCCGCTGTGTCCAGAGCAGCTCCTGGACTCCACTGCCACCACGCCCAGACCAGGAGCAGCTCCCAGCCCAAAACGGCTCCCGGACCCTGCTGCCACTGGCTCTCCAGAGCAACAGTAAGGTTTTTGGGTGTGCATGGATGAAACCCCCCAATGTATTTTTTAAGTTTTCAGATTTTTCTACAAACCTGAGTTTCCCCTAAGTCTGTAGAACTGTTTACAGTCAGTGTGGCTCCTATCCACAGATTGGGCTACACTTGACTATTGAAATATACGATAGAAAGTAGGCTTTACATCATCATCAGTATACAGTACATCCCTTCCTCAACTGAGTAAGGGATGGCGTCGTTGTGTAAATATTACAGGCATGAGTTTAAGTCTTTTGACTGTAGACTGTATAGAGAATAACTTGCTTACTGAATGAAGGAGAGTCTTCTGAGTTGATTTATTGAGTTTCTCTTGATTAATTATATTTGAAATATAGGGAAACTTCAACAGCAACTTCAGTGCAAACTGGTTATTGTCACCTAGAGAACTAAGCAGTCAAATAGACTGGGTTTATTTAGAAACAAACAAATTTAGGAGTTCATTTGAAAGACTAAAAAAGTCTATTAATAACTCACATCTGTTTCTGATATTCTGTTATTTAGTGAAAAATGGGGAATTCAGAAAGCCAGTACAGCCTTCAGGGAACAAAAAATCATGCTAATGCAACATCAGGTGCCAAGCAGAAGCCTTGCTCTCTCAAAATCCGCAGTATCCACGCTAAGGATGAAAAGTCCTGCTCCTCACATGGATGGGGTCATAGCATCAATGGTGCAAATTACAAATCCCGATCACTAGCCAGAAACTGCCTTTCACATTTCAAAAGTGCTCAGCCTTATTCTTCTAGACTCGGGGACACAGTGGTGAAAGTGTCTAAGAACAGCATGCACAACAAACATCGAACACAGACCTCGGGGAACTACAGCCAAGGGTGTAATAATGCTGCCTTTTTGCCAGAGAATGGTTTTCACTATATCGACGTTGAAGCTAAAAGTAACCATGTTGCTTCCAGAGAATGTAACGGGCACTTCTTAAATTGCTATGGGAAGAATGAAAGCCTCGCATCGACTCCACCATCAGATGATCGAATGAGCCCAAAGGTCCTTATTAAGACACTGGGGAAGCTGGATGGGTGCTTAAGGGTTGAATTTCATAACAGCAGCAGCAATAGCACTGTCTCCAGGGAGGAATCCAGTGGACCAGTACAACTGTTACGGTACTCACCTACTGAGTCTGAAAGGAATAACCTACTTGAAGTGAAGGATAGTTCTAGTACAGATTATGCTGGAAGCCATTGCCTGTCAGCCTCTGACTCAAGACTTAGATCCAGTAAAGGGAGCTCTATTAGCTCCGAGTCTTCTTGGTATGATGCTCCCTGGGGCAATAATGGAGAGATAAATGGAATGGATGGGCCATACATATCCAGGAGCACCCCAGATACAAGAATTCAAGTCAGTTTTCCCCAGAATGACTGCAAGAAACCCTTAAACCAAAGTGCATCTCTCTCTTCTCTCCGTGACATGTATCAAGATACAAGCCTTAGGAACTGTCAGATTGGACTTTCTGCAGATTACATCAACACTCATGTCAGTTTAAGCAACCGTGTTTCATTTACCTCCGACATAGATGTTCCTTCCAAAGCAGACCACAGAGCACCTCCACAGTACTCTTCCTACACTCTTCCATGTAGGAAATCTGCAGCCCTAAATGATGAGGCAACCAAGAAAGAAACATTAAAAAGCCGAATGCGTCGGATCAGTGACTGGACAGGAAGCCTATCAAGAAAGAAACGAAAGCTTCAGGTACGTTGAATTGTCAACAGAAAGTCCCATCTGAAGTACAACTTTTAACTTTAAAGTATATGCTTAACTTTGTTTTTAAAATAAATCTCTTCACATAACTCATCAAAATCCTTCAAGGCAATCCAAGTCAGTCAGGGACAGATTGGCCATTAAAGTCATTGGGAAACATCCCAGGGGGCCAGTGGCTTGGGGGGGCTGCCCCCCTCTGGGTCCTTCATGGCTCAATGTGAAGGGTGGCCTGAGTACTTTGTAGGGCAAGCACAAGCTGCTGCCATGAGCCAGTGACCCTAGCCCTGGGTGGACCATGTCTGCGCTGTTGCCGTGAGCTGATGGCTTCAGCCCCGCACAAGGCAAGTGGGGACCTGTTCTTCCTCCCTTCTCCCCTCTGTCTGGGAGGTGGGACCATTTCCAGGGCTGTTTTTACCCCTCAGTCCACCCCTGAACTTCAGTGGCCTGAAAAAAAGGTCGGGTCCTTTACTAAAGGCCAATGAGCTCTGTGTGTGCCTTCAATGTTTTTTCTGGCAGTTGATAGAAAACTTGTGGGATAACTGTTAGATTTCCACCTCCCAATGTGCTCATCTGCAAATCTGAGCTAACTTGGATTTCATAAGTACAAACTAATTGTGCTCATAATTTTCTTATTTTAATGTGGTGCCTAAAACAGGGGAGGGGGTGTAGAAACACTTGATTTTCATATGTCTTGTTCAGTCAAATGACCACTGAAGCTCACTGTAGTGGAATAGACTTCCTCTTCATAGTGGAAGCAGGTAATCAGGCAGTTGGATTAATAGATATTATGATGTCTTCATGATTTGACCTACATGGGTCCCAAGGTAGCCTCTGCTCTGTGAATGCAGACAGATTCTTTCCTGGAAGCTGCTTTCTCCAACCAAGAGAGGATTGCTGGTGGTGAAACAAGTGACGTTCGGTGCTAGTTATACAGCATTTTGTACCTTGCTATTTTGAATGTTCTTGTAGCGTAGAGAGGGGGCCAGTATGAATGTTGTGCAATAAACATCTTTAGCTATAAACTGCAGGTTTGCCAAACATATTTTGATGGTTAAAATCAAGGCACTGTAGTGTAATTTAATACACATGAAAAACTGCACACGAGAAGAATGTTATGAAGTAAGCAAGAGAAGCTTCAGACAGCAGAGATAGGCAGGAATTTATTTATATATTCAACAAAAAAGCTGCCCCTTTTTTCTCTGTAATTCTTTCATCCAGTACTATGTTGTGTTACCCGCTTCATGTGCATTGGCTCTTATTTTGGGGGGCAGCTTCTTATGATGTATCCATAGTCATGTTCCGAGTATGAACTTGAGCTTAAGTATGAAGTCGATGTGTAACATGACAGATACAAATGACTGGGACAAAGGTGGACTTCTAAATATATATAAAGGAAGGGAAAGGATTGAGCTTCCACCTGTGGTGATTTTCTATATGCATCTGCAGCCTTCCTGTCTGATAAAAATGTGTTTGGTATATGCATTGGACCCAAATTTAACATGTATCTTAAGAAGCAATGCTCATATTGCCACACCATATTGGAAACCAGGTTTGATGACAGCCTACAGTAAAGAGGTATTGAAATAAGCAAATCCCTCACAAAGCTTTATTTCCTCCCTCTTAATATGTCTTGCCAACAAACCTGTGTAGCCCTGTTCTCTACTGCCACCACCCATTCCCCCCCCCTTTCCTTTCCCCTGTCTTTGTGTGCCATACTGCTTATCTGTCCTCATTCAGTCTGTTTCTACCTGGTTGTGGCCTGAAAGCCAGGTGAACACAATTCATATTCACATGGACTTTTCCTTCCTCACACTGAGGGGAGGAAAAAAGAATTTAGACCAAATAGAGGCAGAAGAAATGGTAATGTTGGCCTTAACCATCAGCAGCTACTTCTCTTTCCTTTCTTGGGCTGTCTCAAGTAATGAGTTGGTGTGTCAAGAACTTATTCCCTAGATAGTTCTGTAGTGGGCAGAAGGCAAGGGGGAGGAAAGCATGTGCACATTTTGTGAAGCTTATATCAAGGAGTTTTTTGATGCACGTGCTTTGCCACATTTACATTAACATTAACATTCAGACAGTGCTAGGCACTCTGGCCCCCTCCCCAAACATTAGACAGGGTAACAATCTGTGAATAGTAAAGGAGTCTGAGAAATAGGTTGTGTCGGGGTTGGCTGAGCCATTCTTCTTTTCTTCATGACCCTAAATAAATGTCGTGCTAGCAGTGGACATTTCATGGGGGACAATGATCTATCCTGTGACAGCTGCACCCATGAGACCATTGCACTGTTTTTGGCTGCGTGTTGGAGGGGGGGGGAGACCGTCCTACCAAAACATGAGACAGCTTTTTGATGAGTACCGTTTAAGGAGTGGGTAGAGTTGCGTGGCATTTTGGGTTGGAGACCAGAAGCATCCCGTGAAGACCAGTTCTATTTGACCTGCTCTGAGATTTAGAAAAATGGGCAAAGCAAATCCTTTGATAAAGTTACCTATAAACAACATTGGGGAGAAACTAAAGAAAAATTGTGAGGTTCTTTTAATGGAGTTGTAAACAGCTGCCTTGGATTTCTTCCAGTGTTTAATGGCATTGGTAGAACAAAGTTTGAATTCAGTGGCACCTTTAAGACCAACGAAGTTTTATTCAAGGCATGAGCTTTGTGTGCACGCACCCTTGTTCAGACACAATGAAATGGAACTTTCTAGTCAACACATGCAATGCAGAGGTTGAACAGCAAATCAGCATACAATACAATGAAATGTTTTAACAGATGCAAACAGGAATAACAAGCTAAATTTATACGGTCATCATTGTTTGGATTTAATTCTGGGGAAAAACAATGAGGCAAATAAATATGTCAAAATTGGCGACAGATGTGTAAATGTATGCTTCTTAATTCTGGAGTGCTAAGAGCAATCAACTGAGACCCTGCTGTCACTCTCCATCTGTCTCCCCTCAATCATGGTGGTACTAATTGCGTCTTTTTCTTTGAGGTGGGGGTGATTAGTACCTAATGACATTAGGTAAATGTTCATTTATGAGTTACTCACTGTGCTATTTAAGCATAAATAGTCTATTTTAAGCTCAGAACAACCCCCCAGGACTTAACAGAGATATTGATTTCCTATCTCACTACATATGCTAAACTCATTCAGTCCTTACATCTGTATTCTCAAGAAGAAGGGCTTTTTTAGTGTATTTCTTATTTGGAATAGTATAGGATTGCTGGTGGTGAAACAAGTGACGTCCGGTGCTAGTTATACAGCATTTTGTACCTTGCTATTTTGAATGTTCTTGTAGTGTAGAGAGGGGGCCAGTATGAATGTTGTGCAATAAACATCTTTAGCTATAAACTGCAGGTTTGCCAAACATATTTTGATGGTTAAAATCAAGGCACTGTAGTGTAATTTAATACACATGAAAAACTGCACACGAGAAGAATGTTATGAAGTAAGCAAGAGAAACTTCAGACAGCAGAGATAGGCAGGAATTTATTTATATATTCAACAAAAAAGCTGCCCCTTTTTTCTCTGTAATTCTTTCATCCAGTACTATGTTGTGTTACCCGCTTCATGTGCATTGGCTCTTATTTTGGGGGGCAGCTTCTTATGATGTATCCATAGTCATGTTCCGAGTATGAACTTGAGCTTAAGTATGAAGTCTATGTGTAACATGACAGATACAAATGACTGGGACCAATGTTCCCTCTAAGCTCTGGAGTCTTGTGAGCAAAAATTCTACTTTGTGAGCTACTGGCATTAAAGTTGTGAGCAAGCAGTTTGGCTACTGCATCAATTAGTTTGCTCTGGAGCCATCCTTCCCGAGCGACTACAAAAATGTGTGAGCTGGAGGCTAAAAAAATGTGAGCTAGCTCACACTAACTCAGCTTAGAGGGAACACTGACTGGGACAAAGGTGGACTTATAAATATATATAAAGGAAGGGAAAGGATTGCGCTTCCACCTGTGGTGATTTTCTGTATGCATCTGCAGCCTTCCTGTCTGATAGAAATGTGTTTGGTATATGCATTGGACCCAAATTTAACATGTATCTTAAGAAGCAATGCTCATATTGCCACACCATATTGGAAACCAGGTTTGATGACAGCCTACAGTAAAGAGGTATTGAAATAAGCAAATCCCTCACAAAGCTTTATTTCCTCCCTCTTAATATGTCTTGCCAACAAACCTGTGTAGCCCTGTTCTCTACTGCCACCACCCATTTCCCACCCCCTTTCCTTTCCCCTGTCTTTGTGTGCCATACTGCTTATCTGTCCTCATTCAGTCTGTTTCTACCTGGTTGTGGCCTGAAAGCCAGGTGAACACAATTCATATTCACATGGACTTTTCCTTCCTCACACTGAGGGGAGGAAAAAAGAATTTAGACCAAATAGAGGCAGAAGAAATTGTAATGTTGGCCTTAACCATCAGCGGCTACTTCTCTTTCCTTTCTTGGGCTGTCTCAAGTAATGAGTTGGTGTGTCAAGAACCTATTCCCTAGATAGTTCTGTAGTGGGCAGAAGGCAAGGGGGAGGAAAGCATGTGCACATTTTGTGAAGCTTATATCAAGGAGTTTTTTGATGCACGTGCTTTGCCACATTTACATTAACATTCAAACACTGCTAGGCACTCTGGCCCCCTCCCCAAACATTAGACAGGGTAACAATCTGTGAATAGTAAAGGAGTCTGAGAAATAGGTTGTGTCGGGGTTGGCTGAGCCATTCTTCTTTTCTTCATGACCCTAAATAAATGTCGTGCTAGCAGTGGACATTTCATGGGGGACAATGATCTATCCTGTGACAGCTGCACCCATGAGACCATTGCACTGTTTTTGGCTGCGTGTTGGAGGGGGGGGGAGACCGTCCTACCAAAACATGAGACAGCTTTTTGATGAGTACCGTTTAAGGAGTGGGTAGAGTTGCGTGGCATTTTGGGTTGGAGACCAGAAGCATCCCGTGAAGACCAGTTCTATTTGACCTGCTCTGAGATTTAGAAAAATGGGCAAAGCAAATCCTTTGATAAAGTTACCTATAAACAACATTGGGGAGAAACTAAAGAAAAATTGTGAGGTTCTTTTAATGGAGTAAACAGCTGCCTTGGATTTCTTCCAGTGTTTAATGGCATTGGTAGAACAAAGTTTGAATTCAGTGGCACCTTTAAGACCAACGAAGTTTTATTCAAGGCATGAACTTTGTGTGCACGCACCCTTGTTCAGACACAATGAAATGGAACTTTCCAGTCAACACATGCAAGGCAGAGGTTGAACAGCAATACAATATAATGAAATGTTTTAACAGATGCAAAAAGGAATAACAAGCTAAATTTATACGGTCATCATTGTTTGGATTTAATTCTGGGGAAAAACAATGAGGCAAATAAATATGTCAAAATTGGCGATAGATGTGTAAATGTATGCTTTTTAATTCTGGAGTGCTAAGAGCAATCAACTGAGACCCTGCTCTCACTCTCCATCTGTCTCCTCTCAATCATGGTGGTAACTAATTGCGTCTTTTTCTTTGAGGTGGGGTGATTAGTACCTAATGACATTAGGTAAATGTTCATTTATGAGTTACTCTGCTATTTAAGCATAAATAGTCTATTTTAAGCTCAGAACAACCCCCCAGGACTTAACAGAGATATTGATTTCCTATCACACTACATATGCTAAACTCATTCAGTCCTTACATCTGTATTCTCAAGAAGAAGGCCTTTTTTAGTGTATTTCTTATTTGGAATAGTAGATTAGAATAGTGATTGTAATGTAATGCAGTGAATATTAGTATGTTATAATGGTATGCATTTCTGCGGTCTAGTAACAGAGGAAACATAACACTGCACTACAAATCACCCCACCTCAAATAAAAAGATGTTATTAGTTACCTCCATGATTGAGAGGAAACAGACGGAGCAGGTAACAAGGTCTCAAGCAGTTACTCTTAGCACTCTGCAGTTAAGAATGGCACATTTACAAATCTGTCTCCAATTCTGACATATTTATCTGCTTCACTGTTTTCCCCGGAATTAAATCCAAACAATGGTGACCTTATAAACTTAGCTTGTTATTCCTGTTTGCATCTGTTAAAACATCTTCATTATGCTGTATGCTAATTTGCTGTTTAACCTCTGCCTTATACATATGGACTGGTAAATTCCATTTCATTGTATCTGAGGAAGTGTGCATGCACATGAAAATTCATAGCTTGAATAAAACTTTGTTGGTGTTAAAGGTGCCACTGGACTCAAACTTTGTTCTGCTATTTTGAGCATTAGAGTAACATTTTGTCAGAAAGACTCTCCTCCCAGCTCGCCTTCTTGTTCATGTCTGCTGAAATTTGCTTAAAGATACCTATTTAGAAAGATTCTCACAACACTACAGTGGGAATGGAGGGCGATTATCATTTTCTTAATAGCAGACCCTTTAGACTACAGTCCTGCCTGGGGCTCTGGATAGCCCAGTGTGTAAGCAGAAAGTCTAGGAAATAAGTGCTGCCAAATGAAAATTAAAAGCATATGTAAAACATTCAACTCTGCATAGTTAAGTGCTCTGCCCTTCTTATAAAAATTCCTTCATGTAATTACAGCTAGGGCAAATGAGTTGCATGTAATTTTGCTCTAACACGTAATTAATTTTGCTGAAACAGCAAACGTGATAATCAGCCATTTTGAACGTATGTGCCAGAAGAGTATGTTCTAGAAATTCAAGATGAAATGTGAGACGAGCACTGTATATTTTTTAATATTTGGTATTTTTGGTATATAGTTTTTCAGTATATTGGTTCTGGAAGTAGTGGCAGTATTAGGCTGTGCCTTCCAAGTGATCTTAGCCTGAAGGTTACCGCCCACCTCAGGAATGATGGCAAAGTTGTACAAGAATGCAGCTTACTGGGAACTGGAAGGAATAAAAGAAAAATATAGAGCTGAATTTCATAACGGCCTAAAGACCAATGTCGAAGATTTACTTCAACACTGAATGAGTGAGAACCGAGCAGAGGCAGAAGCGGTTGGGGGGGGGGCAGGATACTGAAATGGGTCTTGGAAGCGAAGTGTAAATCTGCTTCTTGCGCATTAACCCACCCAAGTGTGGCACATGAGACTCAGCAGTCCTCTATGAGCAGTGTGAAATTGAAACTAGGTGGTGGAGAAGAAAACAGGTCATCACCTCATTCAGTTCACACCCTTGTAGGTATGATTCAGAAGAAGTAGCTAAGCATCTCTGGGCTTTAATAGGACAGTCCAGTTGTGAAAGCATTTCAGAACATCCCGAATTTAAGGTGATAGACCAGCCTAGAGCAGCTGGAGTGCTGCCATAAGACAGTACTGCTGTTTCACTATACTAGGAGAAATGCATGAGCCTGTAGTCGTCGGCGATGTATCTGATCATAGCTGCCAGACTTTCGGCCAAAGAAGTAACAGCAATTACAAGTGAATTATGAGGTTTCTTCTAAACCCACTGAGTCAGTCTCTGGAATTTGCAGGCAGTGTGTTGACTTACAGTAGCGCGGATGGGTGCAGAGGTCAGTCTGCACTAGGAGTCAAATTGTGGTGAAATGTTATGAAGGAATTTATTTGCAGTAGATATAATCAGGAGTCCAGTTAAACTATGAAATCTGGTTGCTATATATCAGCTAACCGTGGGGTTGTTTTTCTTATTGATAGGAGCCGAAATGCAAAGATTCAAACGAGTACTTTGACATTGGAATTGAGAGTCTTCCTACTGACTCCCTTGCCCCTTCCCCATTCTCTGCTTCTCTGTGGTCGCCGAGTTCTGGTCAGATTTTCCCCCAGAGAAGTGAATCTGCCAATGCCATCAGCAGCGATTTCCTGAGACAGAACATTTATGAGAACTTCATGCGGGAGCTTGACCTGAGCAAGACCAACATTGAGCACCCAGACACTTCAACAGAAACGGAAGACTCAAGCAGCGAATCGCTGAGCTCCCTGGAACAGTTGGATCTGCTGTACGAGAAAGAACAGGGAGTTGTCCGCAAAGCTGGATGGCTGTTCTTCAAACCTCTTGTGACTTTACAGAAAGAGAAGAAACTTGAGCTGGTCACCCGGAGGAAATGGAAACAATACTGGGTAACACTAAAAGGCAAGTGATGGTACATGCTTTTGAGCCACTGTAGAGTTCAGTCAGTTCAGTGTTTGGCACTAAAAATCCATTTCTACAGCCATTCTTTTATAATATTCTTTTTCTTTTAGAAAAACAAATGTAGCAGAGGTGCTGTCTTCACAATAACATGTCTCCCTCTAGTTGACTATATTGTGAACATTTATCAGGCTTTACCCCGCACACACACACTTTGTTGGTTTACTTACTAAGTGGCTGCTGAGGACACCAAACTGCTGAGGGTGGCAGTGTGGGAGGAAGCAACAGGAGGGCATGGTGGTGGTAGAAATTGCTGTCGAGTTGTACCTGACATATGGCAACCCTGTAGGATTTTCAAGGCAAGAGACGTTCAGAGGTGGTTTGCCATTGCCTGCCTCTACGTAGCGACCCTGGACTTTCTTGGTGGTCTCCCATCCAAGTAGTAACCAGGGCCAACCATCATCTTCTGCACTGCTGCTAAGGGCCAAGGCAGGCTGTGGAGCTGGTCTGTACAAGGGGAGGTGTATGCCTTCTCTGCTGCTGCCCACCCTGGGATCTAGGTAAGGTGCTGCTGAGGTACCTTCTTTACAGCTTACCTTAAAGCCTGAGGTAATTTTTTTACCTGCTATGGCGGGGAGGGCGGGGGAGAAAATAAATAAATAAATAAATACATCTTATCTTCAAACTGGGTATTATAGTCTGGGGCTGTGTGTGGATTGTAACATTTAACAAAGTTTGCACTTACCACGTAGAAAATGAATGTGACATTAAGGGGTCCACGATTGGATTCCCCCCCTTTTAAGGAGGGCCTAAATTAGATTGGTGTTATGCTAAGCAGGGAGTGTTTAACTCTTTCCTGCCTCATGCTGTCTTTCTCAGTCTGAATCATCCTATTAAAGTTTATCTGTCTCCATAGGGGACAAAATATGTAAATGTTGTAAGACATACAACAGTTGATCTTCTGTCATCTTTTCTAGTTTGATTCTAATACTGTACAGTAAATATTACCAAATATTATTCTTTGAAGAATGGAATTGCTGGTTTATTTAAAGAAACTCTTTAGGGTAGGAGAGAGGAAAAAAATCACGGAGGTGCCAAAATATACTCAGGTCTAATTAGGAGGTGGAAACAGTAGTCTTACTTTGGGAGTAAGTCTAATTGAAATCAGTGGAATTTATTTTTAAAAAATACACACTATATTGGTTTTCTTCACATGGGACAAAGGATTGTAAATAAAGAATCAGCCCTATGGATACCTTATGTAGGAAAAATATTTAAACCATATTTTTTTGTTTCTCCTTGTTAGATTTTATAGCTCTAATAAATATCTGGCTTGCCTTTAGTAAGCTGTAGCACATTTTTGTAACTCATCCCTTTCCGTGAGATTTTTTAATACTATTTGACAGGTCTGTGTGCCTCAAGCCTGTGCCTCCAGGATTGCTTGCACAGTATCAGAACTGACTTAAGTGATGTTGTTGTCCGTTCCCTCTTTGGGTGTCGATGCCTATTTTGAAAACATCCTAGATGGGGGAGGGGTATAGAAAAACTCTCTTTTAAAATAGATACGTATTGGGTGCCCTGAATAAAGCTTTTATTGTTAGACACTTGAAACTGAATTGGCAAAAAGCAGTGAATTGGTGTCCTCATAACATAAGAATGGGATGTGTGTGTATGTTTAACTGTAAAAACACACACACTGTTTTCAGTTGCTGCATGTGACTTTTATGTGTTCTCTTTTGAGCTCTGTATAGTTTATCAGTATCGTGAAAGATTGTGACCATCTGGTTATCTACCAGAACTGAATTGATAGGTGTCCTGAGACCTCAGCAGCGCTTAAAGGGCCATCAAGACTATTCCTTTAACATGAAATGTTGTTTTTTCCCTTTCCATCTGTCCTCCCTAATTAATTTATCCGGGCAAAGGGTACTACATTTCATCCCCATTCTGATCATAGCACATATGCTGTAATCAGACCCTGGGGGATAGTCTGATAAAGGTTGTCTAGTCCTATCTAAGGACAGAGATTGTGACAGCTGTTATTTTTTAAACAAAATATCTTGTAACTCTGTCTGTTCATAAGAACAGAAATTACAATCGCTACAATAAGTTGTCATTCTTCAATACTCAAACTCTTTGGAAAATTTTTTCACACATTTGAAATTTTTTAGAATTTTAGAAGCTAAACGTTGAACATTGTCTCTCTAATATAAAAATGCAATGTGGTTATCTACTTTTGAATCAGGACTTATTCATTATTAATCTGTTTATCCCTACCAAAGATTGCATGTATGTATCCACTTAGAGGATTCTTTTGGAACAAATTTTTTCATCTCCATGCATTGGTTCAGTTTGAGAAGAGAGTTCTTGACATTTGTCTAGTTCAGTTTGGGATGCTATGTTGACAATCCAGGCCTTCTCACACAGCCCAAAGGCATTTTAACGTTTCTCAGTGACAAATAATGGCATTGTCCGGCATAATGGGGAAAAGTATCAATATAATTTTTTTAACACCCATAGAATCCAAATCTATCTTGCCTGGTACCGAAGGAGGTTCTTCAGCACTGACAATACCCTTACCATTTGTCATGGATTAGGAAAGCTGTTTATAATAATGCCTTGTAAATAAATGTACAAGAAGGGAAGTGTGCAACCACCAAATAATTTAAAATTTTTAAAATTAAAACTAAGCAAAAGGTTCACAAAGTCCTAGGGACTTACTGCAGGGTATTGATTCCTGTTATTAACTGCTTTTGTTGTTTCAACCCATTGGGGGTGAGCCCTTGTGAAATGGAGTTATTCAAAAAGGAAGCACGTTGAGTGGCTAAAACAAAGTTTTTGAGTGTTTGCAAATTAGTGTAGATATTTTTGCAAGGACAAAAGTAATGACTACTGAGGAATTATACAACTTTAAGGCTGACAATGAAGAGATTGAAATTTTTCAAACTTTATCTGTTTCTTGGCTCAGATCATCAACCAAAAGGGAGACTGGAATAAGAAAACAGAAGGAGATTGAAACTGGGAAGGGCAGGCCCCCCAAGTAGAAAAGATAATTAAGTGTAAGGATGTGTTGCTGGTAACCAAGATCACGTTAACTCATACTGTGGTATTCCCCATTACTACCTATGGATGTGAAAGTTAGACAATGGAGAAAGCTGCCAGGAAGAAAGCTGATTCATTTGAAATGTGATGTTGAAGTTTAACAGCTAACATCAACCCACAGAAAGTGGGTTCTAAATCAAATAAGTGGATTCTAGATCGAATCAAGACTGAACTCTCCCTAGAAACTAAGATGACTAAACTTAGCCTATTGTACTTTGGTCACATTATGAGAAGAGTCACTGGGAAAGACAATAATGATAGAGAGCAGCAGGAAAAGAGATGGATTGACTCAGTCACAGAAGCCACAGCCCTCAGTTTGCAAGACCTGAGCAAGGCTGTAAGCAAAAGAACATTTTGGAGGTCATTCATTCATAGGGTTGCCATAAGTCAGAAGTGTCTTGACAGCACATAAAATACACATGTGCAGGAAGAAGGGGGAGAAATGTTGCTGTTCAGTAGATCAATAAGACGTGGAAAACATTAAGATACGGATGCTAGTAAAAGGCAGCACAAGGGCCAGTTCTGTTCACACACGATACCGTTGATGGGCATTGATGGAATAATTGAAGATTTGCCAGCAGTTCTTGCAGCTTTGTCTCCTCTTTCAGTCGCTGACATTATAATTTGTACATTGATATCTAAGGGCTATAAAATTTCTCAAGGGTTTTGAAAACTTCCAAGTTGTACTTAGTTTGACTGAACTCCTCATTTATATGCAAGTAAAACCCCCGTCATCAGATCACCTTTCTGCCGTTATTCAGTATTCCCCTCCAATGCTGTGCCAAGCAGTTTTGCATCTGCACAGTCGCTGCTTAGGCTTCAGGGTCATGGTTGGGGATGCCTTGGAAAATAAGTTTCATTTATGATTTATATGATGGTGCTTGTGATTGCTTTTGCAGCCTTTCACATATTCCCAGGGTCATGGTCACATCTACATGATCTACATGTCCAGCACACAATCCCTCGCAGTTTGCCTCCTGTCATACACAGTCGGATGCATCTTTTAAATGACTTACATTGGATACTTTGCTGTAAATTTATTCCTGACTGAGGTAGATTGGCGGCTTAAGCCCTGAGATGCATCTCTTTTAGATGTGTAAGTTTTAAAACAATTTTTTTTTGCAAATGTGGGAAAGAAGGGACTACGGTTCCCCTGAGGCCATGGAAGAAGATGAATGCAAAAATTGATGCAGATCCTCACTGTTCGGCAGCCATTGAAAGACTCCAAATAATGCTGCAATAGGCACACAGCCACCAAAATCTCAATTCAAATATGTTAAACTTCAAAAACAAAAAGAAATCAAGGTGGAGGTAAGTCGGAGGTGCCGGCAGACACAGGTGATAGGGAGGATGGCAGCTGTGGCAAAGCAGTATCTAATTATACTGCATGCGTACATTTTGCACAATTGAATACATGTGAGTTGTTCAGAGGCAGGCACCATTAAGGCTCTCGTGTTCACTACCTGTGAAAAGGATGTGAGCCAAACTGGTGGGTATCTCTGGTATTTCCTAGGTATGTTTGATACACATACCTCAAATAAAATGAAAGCAAATTTACTGTCTGCTCATGTTTTGTTGACTAGCGCATTCAATGTCTTTGCTATCGTATTTTAAATAGAGAGCATAACAGTGAAGCTAATCTTTGTTGATAATTATTTACTGTTTAAGTATCTACCTTTCTGAAAAATCTTGCAAATATTAAAGCTTTCCGTATACTGGTGAGAGGTAGAACTAGCTCAGCAAATTATAAAAACATAAAATGTCTTTGTGATGTAATATTTTGGTTTGTCTTCTCTTTTTGACAGCAATGTTTCTGTTTATTTTAATGGCTACGGATTCTGCTATGGTGTTGCTTGTCATTTCTATAGTCATAGCCATTTCCACTTACAAAGTCCTTTACAATGCTTCCCTGTTTTGTGCTTGCAACATCCTTGTGAAATAGGTGAATTAGAGAGATGCTAGGCCAAAGCCACCATTTTACACATCACAGTCAGACTTACCACTCTGATTGCTTTATTCTTATGCTCAACACTGATTTTTTGTGCGTGTCCTTTGTTAATCTGTGGGTTTCCCCCCCATGGGCTATTTGCCCAGGGCTTGATGCTGTTGGGAAGCAGGTCCCCCCCCCCCCGCTATCCCACAACACTGGTGTACATTCTTGTGCCTCCCTCATTTCTCTGATATCTGTTTTGCTACTAAGTTTGGGGAACAGTTGTAGGAATGCCTAGATGTCTGTTGTGTTATTGGGAAAGTTTGGATTTTGACATATGTTTGAACACACATGAAGCTGCCTTATATTGAATGATACCCTTGGTCCATCAGAGTCAGTATTGTCTACTCAGACTGGCAGTGGCTTTCCTGGGTCTCACGCTGAGGTCTTTCATATCACCTACTGCCTAGTCCCTTTTTAGCTGGAGATGCTGGGGATTGAACCTGAGACCTTCTGCATGCCAAGCAGATGTTCTATCACTGAGCCACTGTCCCACTGTCTTCTCCCTCAATACTAAACCCATTTACTTTCAAGCAAGTCCAACTGCTTATGGTAAAACTTATGTCAGCTGTACACAGCAAGATTATTGCAGGTAAAGTGGTGGTATTACACCAGTACTTCACATAGCAAGCATATCAGGTATGGACGTTATATATACTCATTTATAAAACCCCATCTTCAAAAGTCTAAGAATCCTAATGGGGCCAGGATTTACAGATATATGTACTAGTAGAGCTTAATGATGTTCATCAGGCCTCGGTTCGAGCAGGAGCGCACCAGAGCGCCGCTCCGCCAGTAAGGAGCCCAAGGGGCGGGCACACAAACCCTGCCCCTGCTCCCAGCCCCGCCCCTGCTCTCAGTCGGGACACGAGGAGAAAGCAGCAGGCAGGTAAGTTCCCTGCAGAGCCTTCCCGTGGCCTGCCGAGGCCCCCCCGCCTTCTACAGGCCCTGTGCCAGAGTGCAGGGCCTCTAGAAGGCCTTTGGAGGGCCCCCCGCCACCCCCCCTGCCTTCTACAGGCCCTGTGCCGGAGCGCAGGGCCTGTAGAAGGCCTTTGGAGGCCCCCCCGCCACCCCCCTGCCTTCTACAGGCCCTGTGCTGGAGCGCAGGGCCTCTAGAAGGCCTTCAGAAGACCCCCGTCTTATTCAGGCAGAAGCTCTCTGAGGGCAGATCTGCATGTCCCCCCCATAGGTAGCAATGCAAAGAGTCCAGTGGCACCTTTAAGACTCAGGCTTATTCAGGCAGAAGCTTTCTGTGAGGGCAGATCTGCATGTCCCCTGCCTTCCATAGGTAGCAATGCAAAGAGCCCAGTGGCACCTTTAAGACCCAGGCTTATTCAGGCAGACACTCTCTGTGAGGGCAGATCTGCATGCCCCCCCCCCAATAGGTAGCAATGCA